AGATCCATACTTACTGACTTAAAAATTTCTACAAGGTATGGTAATTAAAACAGTGTGGTACTGCCGCATCAGAACAGATATATAGACCATTGAAACAGAATAGAGAGCCCAGAAGTAAATCCTTACATATATAGCTAATCGATTTTGACAAGGGTGCCAAGACCATTCAATGGGGAAAGGATATCTTCTTAACAAATGGTGCTGGAAAAGCTGGTTATCCACATGCAAAAGAAGGAATTTGGACACCTCCTGTATAATATATGTAAAACTTAACTCAAATGGATCCAAGACTTACACTTTAGCACTAAAATTATAAAACTCTTAGAAGAAAATATGAGTACATCATTGGATTTGGCAATAATTTCAAGCATATGACACCAAAGCACAGGCAATAAAAGGAAAAATAGGTAAATTAGACTGTACCAATATTAAAAACCTCTGTGAATCAGAGGATACTATCAAGTAAGTGAAAAAGCAACATACACAATGGTATAAAATATTTGCATATCAGATTCCAATAGAAGATTAATGTCTAGAATATATAAAGACTCCTGAAACCCAACCACAAAGAAAACAGCACAATTTAAAACAGGAAAACTACTTAAACAGAAATTTCTCCAAAGAAGATATACAAATGTCTAATAAACACCTGAAAAGATGTTCAAAATCACTAATTATTAAGGAAACCAAAATTAAAACCACAATGAAATATCACCTCACATCCTCTAGGATGGCTATTTTTTTTATTTGGAAAATATTAAGTGTTAGTGAAGATGTAGAGAAATTGGAACTCTGTTGCATAACTAGTGGGAATATAAATGGTACAGCCTTTATGGAAAACAGTTGGTGATTTCTCAAAAAATTAAACATAGAACTACCATATGACCTAAAATTCTGCTCCTATCTTTTGAATATATTTATCCAAAAGAATTGAAATCAGGGACTCAAACAGGTATTTGTATATCATCAATGTTCACAGCAGCATTATTCACAATAGCTAAGGTGTGGAAATGACCCAAGTGTCCATCAACAGAAGAATGGATAAACATGCACACACATATATACATAGATACATACATATATATATGTATATATATATATACACACACAATGGGATATTATTCATAAAACGGGATGAATTTTTTATATATGCCACAAATATGGATGGACCTTGAAAACATGCTTAGTGAAATAAACCAGACACAGAAGGACAAATATTACATGATTCCATTTATATGAAGTACCCAGAATAGCAAATTCATAGAGAAAGAGTAGAATAGAGGTTACTAGAGGTTAGGGGAAGGGGGATAGGGAGAGCTTTGTTTAATGGCCACAGAGTTTTTGATGGAGATGATTAAAGTTTTGGATATAGATTATGATAATAGTTAGACAACATTGCAAAGGTATTAATGCCACTGAGTTGTACATTTAGAAATGGTTAAAATAATAAATGCTGTGTTGTATACTTTACCACAATTTTCTAAAAAAAGAAACATTAGTTTTACATGTAAAGTTGATTTGGTCATCAGGCAGAGGGATAGTTTATGTCAGTCAATGCTGTTTTGGGATCACATTTCTCATGTAGTTTAATGTAGTTAAATTTATTCAGTTTCATGGACAGACTTTACCCACAAAGTTAGCACTTTAGAATTTTCAAAGAATTTTCATATATTTTAACAAATTTAATCTTCACACCCACACTGAACAGTAGAGGAATCACGATGTATGTTTTTAGATGACAAAAACATGAGGCTCAGCAAGGTTAAATGACTGTTCAAGAAAAAATTAAATAAAATAATCCATGTAAAATATTTAGTCGAGTTGCTGGCACAAAATAACTATATTCAGTAAGCTTTAGCTGTTATCATATTACTATTACTATGAGGAGCTAAGAGCAGGCATAGATCCTACCCTTAGGATCTCCTAGGAGACTTCAAGGTGTTACTCCAGCAGCAATCATTTAAAAAATCTCAACTGTACAAAATCCATGTGTCAGCTGCATCACTTCTGGGGCATAAAGGAGGCTAGCCATTGTATTTATTTTATAGGCAATTCAGTCTTGATCTGATATACACAATGGCATCTATGAAAGAGTCTTACTCTTTCAACTTTCTCAAATACAGGTGCTCAAATGTGTTTATTATAGCCTGGATTGCTGTTTTTCTCAGTATCATGATATGAAACAACAAAGCAACCAAAATCCTGTGGTTTATGTTCTGGGCTCTAATACATTTCTTTCTAGAAAGTTGTCTCTAATTATAGAACCAGTAAAAATTTTTTTTAATTAGGGGTACTTTTTATACAGAGATCGATCTTATAGACATTCCCCTGAAAACTGCACAGTCCCTGCAGGCAACATGCCTCCTCAGTAACCCACTGAGGTGGGAGAGCAGCTTGCTTGATGCTCACACACACTGGGACCCCGAAATGCCCAGAGCAATGGGTCAAATTATCAAAAGGGGAGAAGGTCCATAGTCCTAAATATATTTGTTTAGTTTGTCCAGAAACAGATTTGGAAATAATCAACTTTGATAGTGAGCATTGCTCCAAAGTCCTTGCTTTCTAGAAATGAAAACAATTATTCAATCAACCAATACCATGGAATTGTTTCAGGTTATGCGAAGGTGGAAAAGGAGCAAAAAGAGAGACATTTAGTTTTTAATTGCTCATCCTCTTGCTTAGAGGACCAAAGTACAAAGTTACACCACCATTTCAGGACTTTTTTACATGACAAAGCTACGCTCTTCTAATAAAACTTAGTTATCATCTCACATGTATTTCAAGTGAAACCATCATAGCTAAATTTGGGGCAAAAAACTTTTCCTCATCCAGACTCCAGCCCAACAGGACTCTCCTTCCCCAATTCATGCGAATGACAAGAACACTGCATAGATTAAGTTTGCTAAGTAATTTCCCTACTAATAGCATAAGAACATATTATTTCAATCCTTTTTATGTATAATTTTTATACACAATAAAACCTAGATTAGCCAAACCTTGCTTGTGATTAAAAATCATCCTACATGTCCAAATCCATTGTCTTGCCCTAACCAATAGGTTTTAACCAACATAGTCAAATACAACTTTACAACCCCCAAGACACTATGCTGCACAAATGCCATTCAGTGGAGGTAACTGGGACAGTATTGTCCCAATTTCAATATTCTTCTTAGTCACTTAGTACAGTCTCATTGATGCTGTGTGGCAAGATATTTTTTAAGGGTCCAAATTCATTAACTATATAACAATATCTTCCCCCATGAAAAATGGTATTACAGTTTTTAATAATACCATTATTATAGTATATGACCTTCTGAGCTGAGGTCACTCTGTTTTAACAGAATTAGGTAAGTAACATGTTGACTATGTTGATGTCTATGTCTCATAAAAAATAAGGCCCATATCTGATTTTGAAATGTGGGGAATTTTAATTTTGAAACACTGAAGTTAAAGTGAGTTTCCATGTACAGTTCACTTGAAAGGTTTCTGAGACTGGTATTGGGATGACAACTCAGATTCAGGATAAACCAGTAAATTTAGATTCCATCAATGTTTCAAAGGAAGTCGAGATGAAGAAATCATTGAGAACTACTTACAATGAGCAGAGAAGTACTGAACTACTGCACTAACAAAAGTATATTCTCTGACAAAATATACTCGCGTCCTTAGTATGTATATCAAAAATTCTGCTCTAGAAAAATCAATGTTTAGTGATTTGAATAACACAATTTTCTTTCATTCAGGTATCCAAAAACCTTTGGTAATATTAGGTTTGACTAATTTGTATCTGAGGAATTTTCAAAGTCAGTCCTTCAGTTAGCTAATCCCTTACTTCTCTGTTCCTTGAATCTTTTGAGTTTTGACACAGATATCCTACCTTTCCTCACAAGGAAGGGGGTTTTCTACCAAATGCACAATAGTAATCAGTGGCAACAGGCAATTAAAATAGATGTTAAAACTCACCAGGTTTGTTTTAATGCTACTTAGTTAACTTCCTTATTGAGAATTTTAATAAAGTGACTTACATTTATTATACTTAAGCATATTAAAATGCTTTTGTTCACTTTATAACCCACATACACAAAGAAACTGCTACACTCAGGTTTGTTATACTCAGATTTGGTGATTAATATAATCAAGTTAATATGTTAAGAAGAACTTGACACAGAAATTATTAATGAGTAGAATAAGGTCACTACTTCTGAGCTGAGGTCACTTACAAAGAACGCACAAACGAAATTAAGGCTGACTTTTATTTACTTGACTATCTTCTTACATTGAATTCCTTTGGCAACATATCTTTAAACATTTAAACCTGTTTACAAGGAGGCTCCGAAAGAAGCTTCAAACCATTATACCCATAATTGAATTCCCCAGGAGTCCAGTAAACTCAGAGGAATAAAGGAAAATCATAACATTTGCTAACTGATCTCAAAACGTATTTCACTGCAAGGTTATGTGATCTGTTTTTTTGAGATTCAAAGATGAAGGAGAAAATACTACTGAATGCTTTATTATTTAGACTAAAATCAAAAGGCATCTTACCTATTAGTGATAAGATAATTAAATCAGTCCAGTTTTAATTTTTCTTCCAAGAGCAATCAGACAACAAACAATAACAACATATTATACTGTATGTGAGTATAATATAAGAGTATAAAAGCTCTCAGGAGGAGGAAAGTATCATTAACCAAAGACAATTACTCATAGTAAAGGTATGAGAGAAAGCTGACAAAAATTTGTAATCCTCAGGGGGAGGGGTGAGTAGTATTTTATGTGCACTCAAGTGAAGGAAAAGAAAGTAAAAAGTTTTTAGCAACCCATTAGTTCATTAACATGACCCCTTCCCAAGTAACTTCCCAATTCTAATTTTACTTTAAAATAAGCTGTGATCATTTTATTCATAGTTTCTTCATATGGTCCTGTGCTTGTTGTGACTACTAAGCAAAAACATGTGGATTTTAGCATTTCCAAAAGATGTTAAATTCCTCTCTACTTACCTGGTTTGTATGTTATTCCAGGGGGGAAGAGAAATCCCTGCTGGGCAGCTGCAGCTGCTGCCAGGGTCCGCTGGTCATGTGGAAAAATTGGGATCATGAGCGGAGGCATGTGACCCTGAACCTGCTAAACAGAAGAGAGCCTATGATCAGACAGAGAGCAAATGTAGGCCAAGAAATATTTGTTTTTCAATCCTGATGGTGTGTTGATACCCAAACTTCATTTCAAATCTGCTCTCTGAGATAATTCAGGCAAAATCCACCAAATTCCTATTCTTAGATTCCATTAGCACACCAAGGACATAACTTCATTGTGAATTTGCTTCATTCCTGCTTCCACCAAATTGTAGTTAATGGTTTCTTTTATCTTGACTTTTTTCCTTCTATTTTCTTTCTGTTTTCAAACAAAGACCTAGAAGAAATAAATTTACTTTTCACTCTGTTCTATGTTGAAAGGTTTTGCCCTTTCACCTGCTTTGCATTCTGTACTTTATTTTGAAAACAGTATTTAGTATCCTTGGTCAGAAAATAATGTGTAATTGTTATGTATTCCAAGAGCTGTATCTCCCCAGTTTAGGTATCTCATTTCAAAGGCTTGCTGCATTATGTTAAACATATAGCTCTTCAGATTTAAGGCTACTACATCTTAGCTCCCAATTAAACTAATATTCTTTGCCATACACACCTCGATGTAACATATAAATTGCTTGTCTGGCTAAGCAGTTTTACAGCTTTATGCACTACCATGTAGCTCAGTAATTATGGAGTTGTATTCAGAGAGCATTTCATAATAAATCCTACTATATCAAATTTCATTTGACCTCAATAAATGTATCAAAGAGCATGAAAATGCAAAATAGAAAATCCTCACTCTATATCAGTATTTGTATTCCATATAAAGAAAATAAGAGCTATGACAGAATCATGCCTGTGAAAATCACATTTTAATTTTCTAGCTCCCTTCTTTACTCTATGCATGCTGCCCTGATTCCAGTTTAGTGTCACAGGAAGGTTTTATCCTGGCTGTTAGGACATGATTTTATAGGTTGAACTGCAGGACTTTTGTTATTTAAAGATCAAAACTAGGATGTACTAACAGAGATGATCTTTTAGTTCAAACTGGGTCTTTGGCCTCTTTACTAGTATAAAAGGGCTGCATTATACCCTGTTTAAGACACAAACCTTTACCAGTAATTCTACCAACCCCAAACCCTTCCCCCATTTAAATTCCTAAATCTTTTCTTTAGGCAAAATTCCATATACTGGCTGATGACCCTATTTAAATAGCACCAACTTGCCTTGTCCTGTTCCTGTTCCCTCCACAGTCAGGACACAGTGCAAAAATGCTTCTGTGTGGGTCTAAGAGGTTTCATTTACCAACAGTTTTTCTCCAGGGAAAGCCCTAAGATGTGGGTTAATAAAGGGCAAGCAAAAAATAAACACTTTACAGTATTTTTTCTGAATTCATTTCTCAGGAAAATCAACTTATAATAAAAAGGTCTTTGTGCAATTACTACCTTGCCAGTGGGGCGTGAAAGAAACTAGCTTTGGGCAGCTATTTCTTCCATTTTAGCTGAGGTAAGCCCAAGTTTTCTACATTAGAGTACAAACTTAGCCTGCTGAAATTGGAGCTGATCCCCTTGTGCCCAGGTCTTGCCTTTAACCCTGAAGAAAAGCACTAGGTTTGCTGTTTGGCTCCAGCTTGTGACCTGATGCAAACCTGTGATGTCAGAGATGAGGGCACTGTTCTATGTCAGAAAATAAAACACAATATTTTTGTGGGGGACTATTGTTCAGTGCAAGAATACATCAAAGGAAATAATTTCATTTACTTCTAGAAATACGGTCCTAGCATATACCTATACTTCACATTCTTAAAGAAGGGGAAGAAGAATATGAGAAATCTAGGTATCATATTTAGTCTTCCTTTCATTTAACAAACACTAAGTTGTTATTATGATGTGCTATGGATCTTGACAAGCAGCTGAAAAAATTGGAGGCTATTTAGCTTGAGAAAGATAAGATATAAGTATCTTCAAATATTTGAAAGAATAATGTATGGAAAATAACCAGATTAAGTGTGAACAGTTAACAAAGGGCAGAGCTAGCCTCAAAAGAAAGAGATTTTAGGAAGAGTTTAATGCAAAGAAGCATGCTCTAATAATGAGTTATTCAGCAATCATTCTGCTTAAAGAGGTGTGTGTACTGTTTCCCTAGAGGTGGTCAAGTAAAGGCTGTATTTCCCAAAGTCAGAGATCCTTTAAAGGACGTGCATAACTAAAACCCTGATTAGATAATGACCTGTAAAGCCTTTTCAACTTTATAATTCTCTGATTGTTTAAAAATCGGCATTAGGAAGACAATGTGATATAGTCATTCCTTTATTCAGCCATTCAATACTTATTTATTCAGAACCTACTATGCCTATGAAGGCTTTGAGGTCACATAGATTCTGAGCTTAAATCTACACACTGCCATTTCCTTCGCTGTGCAAGCTTCAACAGTTACTTAGCCTTTCTGAGTCCGTTTCCTCATGTAAAAACCAAAGCTAATAATGCTACCTTGCATGGTTATTGTGAAGATTAAATAGACAAGACAAGTAATGCTCGCAGCACAGTGACTGGCACACAATGGGCACTCAGTAAATGTTGGATCCTTGCTCTTTTCTTACGTAGTTTGCATATTCAGTACTAGAAAATCACCAATTACTGATACAACAAGAAACAGTGCGTCTTACTCATAGCCCCACTTCAAAAAAGAAAACATGAGCCAACTAAACAATTCATTTGGCAGGCATAGGCTTGCCATGTTCTTAGCAGATGCCGTGTCTCACAGAGCACTGCCCCATCCCATGTATCCAGAAAAATCATGAAAAAGAAGAGAGGGGTTTACAAGGATCATTTGTAGATGTAATGTTGGATCTTTAGTATTATTAATTAAACAGCATCTTAGAATGAAAACATAATTTTATTTTAACATTGATGCCTCACCCCAGCTCTTCAGATGATAAGACAGGGCAACAACAGCAATTAGGTATGAGACCTTAATTCTTGAATCTTGGTGTCTGAAGATATTTCTTTTGTAACTAAGTATGTACATGAAATAACTAAGTAAGTTATCTGGGGTCATTTTTAATGCCAAAGAGCCATAGGTGTTTTATATTAACTTAAGATGAAAGAAATTGGGCAAGGTCCTTTCTGCCCATCACCCTCTACAAGGTAGGATATAATAGAAACTTACAATGCAAACTAGGAGCTCAGAGGCAATTTCAATAAACTGAGAGAGGAAGTAAATATGGAGGGGGACAGAAGACCTTATGAGAGCAATGGTAACGATATGATCTTAGAGTTGGAATGAAGCTTAGAGCTGATCTCACCTAGCAGTTTTCAAGGTATGATACCTGACCAGAACCATCAACAACACCTGAGAATTTTTAGAAACCAAATCATTGGGCCCCACCCTAGACCTCTGAATGAGAAACTTACAGGTTACAGGAGTCTGGGCCCAACAATATAAGATTAGACTAAAATTTAATCCAGAGCAGTGATTCTCCAACTTCAGTGTTCAGCAGAATCACCCAGAGGGCTTGCTAAAACAAAGATTATTCGATCCCACCCTCAGAGTCTCTGAATCAGTAGATCTGGCGTGGGAGCCTGAAAGTGTACTTTTCTAACAAGTTCCAAGGTGAAGCTGGTGCTGCTGGTCCAGGGACCATTCTTCGAGAATCACTGATTTAATTCAAACCTCACAAGTTTTACACACGGAAACAGGTGGCTAGAGATGGTAGAAGTTCTCAATGCTTGTGGTCACACCGCTCATGGCAGATATGGATCTAGAGTTCAAAACTGCTAATCATCCTGTGTGGTGTTTTTTTTCCACTAATCACATGGACTTTAGTGATAGAAAAGAGAGAAATCATGTGTGTACACTCTTTTTGTAGAGAAAGTCTGGAGGTCTGCAACTGAAAATAATTTTATATTTGAGAGGTGACTCTGGAGTATGGATATGACATTGTTGGGCTTCAGTTTATTCCTTTTCTCTCTTTTTTTGCACCCAGAACAATTGGATCTCAAATCTACTATCATTAATTATAATAAATATTACATTAATTAGTAATGATCATTTAGCTCCAATGATAAAATTTGCCCTTACCTTTTTTTTTCAGTAAAACAATGAAGGGAAAATTCAAAGTGCCCTTTGTTAAAGATAAGCCAAAATATCCAGTCACCAACTAGAATCTAGGCCAAGAAAAGATAATAAAAATCTCTTCTTTAAGTTCTAATTACGGAAGTAACAATAGTGATGATCATGTTGAGGATGATAACACTAATATTTCCTGAGTTTCCTATATGTTAAGCACTGGGAAAATGATTTACATGTGCTATCCCATCTAATCCTCAAAACCCTATGAAGTATTTATTGTTATTATCCTCATTCATTTAATGACAAAAACAAAACCATGAAAGGTTATGTAACGTGGTCAATTAAAAAGTGGCAAAGCCAGAATTCAAGTCCAGGTATATCAGGTTCAGAGTTAATTATTTTAAGTACCATATTATATTGACCATGAAGTCATCTTTTACTAAGCAAATCTAAATGGGGTAAGGTATGTAATTCTTTGTGATAACAGCTGACTGAATGTTTTATAAATATAATCATAAATTTAATTGCAGTTATAATAAACAATACAGAGAGATCTCATTTTCCCTGTACCCAATTTACCCCAGTGGTAATATCTTGAAAAACTATAGTACAATATCACAACCAGGGCAGTGATATTGATACAATCTAACAGTCTTATTCAGATTTCCCCAGTGTGAAACTATCTTAAAGGATTATATGTCTTAAAAACTAGCCAGGATAGTGGAGGTCTATGAATACTTCCACCACCAAATTTTACAGGAAGCTCACCAGAATATCCCAGTGCAAATAATATGAGTAGAAAGCATAAATTAAAGCAACTATTTCCCACTTTCACAGTTTTCCATTTATTGAACTTAACTAGAAAATTATTGGTTGAAGGTAGGACAGAAATAGAAAGCCAGGGCAAGGTAGGGAGGAAAGAGGGCTTGGTGGCCATACAAAAACCACATAAGCATCCAAAATACTCCTATGGAAGCTGTGAAT